TGGATTAATCGTGGAAAATGGTGCTTCAACTTACAACCATTTCAAGTTACAACCATCATTCCGGAACGGATTAAAGTCGTTAAGTCGAGGCACCACTGTACAATTTTAATACAGTAATATGATGTCAAATCGGTTCTGTCTTATGGCAACGCTCCTTAGGGTTTTCCAGGTATAAAATGTTCAGAAGTGGTTCAACATTTCCGTCTTCTGGAGTTGCTCTGGGACTGCACTGCTTGCCCAAGGCCACATAGGCTGGCTCTTCTCCCCCGAGGCACTGCGGGGAATCAAACTCCCAATTTGTGACTCAACCCTATTCCAGACAGCTTGTAACGCATTGATAGTAATTGTGTGCTATCAAGTATTTATTAGGATGACCACTGAGGAAATCATTTCTCTCTCCTCCTTTCCCCCCTTTTACTCCTTGCTTATTCCAAATATTCACGGTGGGAAATCAAGCCCCTGACTTCCATGGACAGCTCACTGAGCTATCCAGAGCTGGTGCAATTCAGGAGTGTCTCCTAAGGGGTGCCTTACTTGTGTGTCCATCAGATTCTGAAGGTAGACGTTGTCTAGAGGGGCGGGGTATAAATCCAAATAAAGTAAAAGTAAAGTAAAGGTTATTTACGTCATTGCTGAAAATCATTTTCTAGACCCAGGATTAAAGGTGGGAAGCTTGCGAACGATTATCTAATGCACAAAACTTGCTTCTCAAGCCAAGAAAATCATTAACTCTTTTTGAGATGACACCTAGTAACAAGTACACTTGAGCCAGAAATATATTATGGGATGCTTCTGCATGTACCTTACAGTGCTTTTGTTCCTGGGTTATGATCTATATTATGAGAGGAAAAGGTGACCGCAAGAGCGTCTTATCATTTAATTATTAGAATGCTAATGAGATGTGGCATATTTATGCAAATCTGTCTCTGCACTCAAGCTGTGCCTTCAGCTCAACTGGGAGCTCTGAAATTTACGAGAATCTCCGTATGCTTTTCCTGCAGTTCTGGGAGCAAAGCTCATGAATCTTTCAGAAACATTTTCTTTTGCAGGAAACCCCCACCCCCCATGACTGACTTTAAGATGTGTCTTAAATAACAAAGATGTCAACGTTTGACCAGCATCTGTAATGAGCGAAGGCCTCCCTGCCACTGGATCATGGCTAGGAGCTCCCTCCAGCCTTGTCTTCTTTGGATTTGTGTAAATTCCTTTCAAAGCCATTTCCGTTGCTGATCCTTACCACATCTTGTGGCAAGAGGTTCCGTGGTTTAACCATGCAGTATGTAAAGAAGGACTTAGGAAAAAAAACTTGGTTGATCTTCTTCTTCTGCAGTAATTGTGCAGCTGGTCCAAGGCTACGCAGGCTGGCTTTTCACCCAGGAGACACAGTTGGGGAATCAAACTCCCCACTTCCAGCTCTGCAATCAGATAGATACCTGCCCAGGAGGCACAGTTGGGGAATCAAACTCCTACTTCCAGCTCTGCAATCAGATAGATACCTAAACCACTAAGCAGAGGCTGGATTGATCTTTCATTTTCCTTGCGTGGGATTCCCACTTTTTTCCAAGTGGTTTTAATGGCAACAAAATGATTTGCATTTTCTAATTAAAACCGGGTGCATAGAACTCTAGGATCTTCCAAATGCAAAACAGGCATTCTATCCTTTAGCGATGGTCCCTCCAGAGCAGCAGAATCTCACCACCCAAGCCAGCAAAGAATCTGTCATGCTTCGAGTGAAGCAAAAAGCCTACCTTTGCTGGGATTTACATTGCCACACACGTCGTTGACTGGCATGACTTTATTCGACTTAAGATTCATAGTAAATGGGTAGGCAGGTGGCAGAGTGGATTAAAAAAAAACCCACTGAGGGTGACATTATACATATACAGCAATACATTTCCTGCACTGGCTGGGGATTGGACGAAATGACCACCGGGGTCCTCCCAACACTACAGTCGGTTTATTTCATGATTTTAGGATTGTTCTGCTGTAATCCGGAAGCGACTGAGACTTGTAATCCAGCACTGAAATATATAATGCAAATATTAATGGGAGAAGGAATGAAATAAAGACAAACAGCTCAAGGGTTAAGTGAAAAATGCTCCCAGACAGGTTTTTTTTTAAAAAATAAGTGAATAATTCTAATGCACTCGGTTGATTTTCTAATTCCTCCAGGTTGCCAAGGGCAAGAAGAGGAAGCAATTGTCAGAATAGCATTAAATATTTCCTCTCCTGGAGGAAGGCGATTGTAAAAACTCCCAGAGAATTGCGGGTGGATGAAGGCTGAGATTTATCTGCCTCTGCTAAGCTTCCAGTGCCCTCAACTGGCTCATCCATCCATGCTGAAAATGCAATTCTTTTAAAAAACCTCGTTTATGAGTGTGGGTTATTCTGTACCCATGTTTAAAAACAAAACAAAACCAGGAAACAGCTCAATAATGCTGCAAAATATTGTGCCTGTCTTGCCAGCAGGAAAAAGGATGCCAAGCTTTACATAAAAGGGCAGGCTGAAAGTTGACCACGCCCATGGCATCAGTCAAGATGGTCTAACATAGCCTCTTCTCACTACCCTTCAACAAAAAGTGGCACCTCATAGAGAATCCCAGAAGCGGCCT